GGGGCCCATGGTGACTTATTTTGCAGAAACAAGCACCAAAACCAGTGATAATATGGAATGTACCGAATGTATCCTTAGATGCGAGCACACTGCCTGGCTTGTAAACACTGGCACACACGGGGCAGTTCAGGCCACACGTAGACACGTCTCATACGAATCGCATCGAATACCGGGTTTTCAATCGAATACCGAGGCGAAATTTTTGCATTAAAATGCATCGAACACCGGACTTATTGGATACCGATGCCATCGAATACCGGGGGTCCACTGTACTTAAATGAGTTATACGATACATAAACATTTAAAATCACATTTACGTACCTTTATTGAAGAGTCTTGCTGGCATCTGGAAGATAGGGGGAGGAGAGAGGGAGGACTTAGTGTTTGGAAGGGAAATCCCCTTCCATAAAGACTTTAGGTAACAAGTCCTTATCTGGGGCTACTTCCCTTCTTTGTTTTTTAAAGCCACTAGGACCAGCTTGAGAGTCACCGGGTCCCAGTTACACAAAATAGCTGTCAAGAGTGCCCCGTTTCTGGCGTCTCTAAGATTTCCCTGAAGTGGAACAAGGTTTTATCACTGAACGTGTAGGAGATATGGCTTGTTTCAGCTTGGTCAGGGTGATCCTTTTCAACAAAACTTTGCAACTCATTCCACTTTGCACACATATCCTTAATCACTGAAGAAGGCACCTCCTTCACTCCCTCTTCCTCCTCCTCTGAAGCAAGTTCTTCAGCTGTGGTCTGATGTTTCAGTTGAAACTTGCAGTTCGTCAGTGGTTAGCTCTTCCCTGTGGTCCTCCACCAACTCTTCCACATCCTTGCCACTCACCTTCAACTCCATGGACTTGCTCAGTGCCACAATACCTTCCACAACAGGCAGAAGGTCGGCAGGGTCAAGGTCAACCTCAAACCCTTCAAAATCCCTCCAGACAACACATTGTGGCCACAATTGTCTATTAGCAGAGTTCAAAGTCCTGGAAGTCACTCCCTCCCAAGCCTTACCTATAAGGCTTATGCAGTTGTAGATATTGAAATGATTCCTCCAGAACTCTTTTAGGGTCAATTCAGTGTCCGAGGTCACTTCAAAGCACCTTTCAGACACTGATTTTGTGTAGAATTTTTTGAAGTTAGAAATGACCTGTTGGTCCATGGGCTGGAGAAGAGGAGTGGTGTTAGGAGGCAAGAACTTCACTGTTATAAAACTGAAGTCCCTAGACAACAGATCTGGTACCAAGTTTGGAGGATGAGCAAGAGCATTGTCTATTACCAGGAGGCACTTGAGTGGCAAATTATTTTCCAGGAGGTATTTTTTTCACACGGGCCAAACACTTCATAGACCCACTCTGAAAATTTGCCTCATGACCCATGCCTTATGATTAGCTTTCCACAACACACGCAATTTACTTCTTATGACATTTGTTTTCTTGAAAACACTGGGATTTTCTGAGTGATACACCAGTGAAGGCTTCTCTTTAAAATCCCCACTAGCATTAGCACAGAACATAAGAGTTAGCCTCTCTTTCATAGGTTTGTGTCCTGGCAGTGCCTTTTTCTCCTGAGCAATGTAGGTCCTCTTTGGCATTTTCTTCCAAAAGAGTCCTGTTTCGTCACAATTGAACACTTTTTGGGGTTTGAATTCTTCAGCCTCTACGTACCCCTTGAATTCACGCACATATTTTTCCGCCACCAATTTGTCAGAACTGGCAGCCTCACCATGCCTTACCACACTGTGTATGCCACTATGCTTCTTAAATCTGTCAAACCAGCCTCTGCTGGCCTTGAATTCACTAACATCAGCACTGATTCCAGGCATTTTCTTTACAAGATCGGAATGCAACTGCCTTGCCTTTTCACAAATGATCGACTCTGAAACACCATCACCTGCTATCTGTTTATTGTTGATCCACACCACCAACTTCTTCTCAACCTCTTCGACTGTTTGTTCTATTTTTGGTTACATGTCAACACCTTTTGCAACATCAGCTTCCTTGAGTTCTTTTCTCTTCGCCAGGATAGAAGTGATTTTTTATTTGTTTTTGCCATACATCCTGGCAAGTTCCCGCACATGTACGCCACTCTTGTATTTTTATACTATGTCTTTCTTCACTTCTATGGTGTTTCTCACTTTCTTTACCAAAGGGCTGTCACTATGAAGTTTCTTTGGGCCCATGGTGGCTTATTTCACAGTCACAATCAATAAGCAAGCACTAAACACAATGAATTTATTGTGAAATGTTTGGATGAGTACGCAGGGTAATGTTCTCTCAAGGTTAAACAAAGCTAGACTGGCTCATGACGCCTGTGCGGGGAGGCGTGCAGGTGCGGGTAGGCAGACAGGTCTGGTACGCCGGCCAAAACATAGGGCAACGGCTGAAAATTGGGACAAAATTTAGCCAAAAAAAGTGGCCGATACTCAGGGTGGCCGAAACTCTGGGTTCCACCGTACAAGCATGGGAGCTACTCAGATCTGGAAAACAGATTACAGTTTAGTTTAATATGTTTATTATGCACCCCATACCCATCCTGTGGGCAGTAGTCAAAAGATTACAGAGGTACATAATGTGTCCAGGGACAGTAGGTCTCTGTTATACTATACTACATTTCTATAACTGTGCTACTCTGGCTTGTAAACAGTAATTATCATAGGACTTAACAAGCTCGCCCTGTTGTATACAGGACTCAGAACCCCTGTTATATTCAGGACTCAGAACCCCACCCTGTTTTATACAGGATATAGAACCCAGTTCAGTTGAACACCAGTTCTTTGTTAACAAGCTGAGGAAACAACTCTGAAAGGATGAAGCATCTATAAGGTGTACATTTCACTTTAGAAAGTTTGATGTTTTATATCATCAAATATTGAACTTAACCTCTAGAAAGAGTATAAACAAAACTTTGATTATTATTTTTTCTTAATGCAGAGAATTATTTATCATTATTTTAACACTGGCTGTGTCCCACCGAGGTATTTTTATTACATGTTTATTTATTATAAATTGCTCCTGTAATAAAGGAGCTGCAGCTTGTTGTATAAGACCATTCTTTACTTAACTGTCAGACTCGTCCCCCATAATATACTACATTCAAATACTGTACAATATATTAGAGCATTCAACACACAGCCCCTAGTGATAATGACATTAGTACAGATATATGTATAAGTAGAGTTCAGAGGAAAAGTCAGTAGTAAATGCTTTCTGCTGTTGTTTTTTTTTTTTTTTTTGGTAATGCTTTTTTGTGCTGCATTTTACTACAGGTATGGCAGATGCATTCCATGCTCATGGAAGTTGTACTAGGCTCACTCAGGCTGTCAGTACTTAATTCTGCATGATGAAAATCTTTAATATGCTTTAAGAACAGTGCTGATGATGTGTGACATGTATAGATTGCATATATGGAATTGTGACTCGCAAAATCGTAATAACACAGTTGCAAACAAATCACAGAACAGGTGGTGTTTGAACCCCTGGTGAGTGAGTGGTAAAACTCCAGCCCAGCGTGTAAGCCACTCAGCCTGGGGTACAAACTCCACCCATTCTGTGGTTTGCATGTATGGAATCCTTGATAAAACTGGGGTATTACATAATACTGACTGCATATAGCAAACCCAAATAAAACAAAGGAAGTCTGCATGTCTTTGTTTAGCCAAGTCTTTCAGAAATATTTTATAAAGACAAGATGACTGTACAAATGAGGGTTACTTGTTTAGATTTTATACCCTTTTGTAAATGCAGTATACGTATAATAAAAATATAAGGTACTGTATTTAATAAATTCAAATTTGTCTAAAAGATTGTGCATGAGTACCCAGCTTTTGTTGTGGGTAGCAATGCATTACATTCAGTATTTAGAAAATGTTACTGTGATGCATGAACAAGATTCCTTTGTACAGTATTTAATAATGAAAGTTTCCTGTGTATTTTGAAAACATGGGCTTTGAGTATCTGCATGTAGCTTTTGCTGTGTGATGTACATCTTGCCAGTCATTAGGGAGTAATGTATGTACATTGTATTAGCTTCGCTGCATAATATAACTGTGTTTGTGTCAATGGGCTGTCTCTATACCAGTAACATTTTTTATGCAGATCTAGATGCTACTAAACAGGGGCTGCACAATAAGACATTACAACATAGTACCAGATATCTTACCTCATTTAACCTACAAATTCTGTCAGACGTACATGTGTGTGTGTGTGTGTGTGTGTGTGTGTGTGTGTGTGTGTTGGTAATATCTGGCTTTTTTGCCTGCCTAACAAATATATATATATATATATATATATATATATATATATATATATATATATATATATATATATATATATATATATATATATATATATATATATATATATGCGACAACTACACAGTGTGAATGACTATGAGCCTATGTGTGAACAATGATCTCTTGACACCATGACTGTTTTCCTTTCTCTCTTCTTACCACCTGTTTTAGGCCTCTTCACTGCTCATATATAGGACTGCTGCCCAGAAACTTTATATTTTATATGTTGATATGTTTGGTGAGCAGTGTAACAATAAAGGCTGTTAGTTATAAAATCATGTTTCACCCACTTGGCAGCCAGCCTCTTGTGTGATCCACTCAGTCAATGTCTGGTCTTCAGGTACCAGTGGCCAGGTCTGTAAGAACAAGAGTTTAAGTAGAGTACGGTAGAGTAGTATCAGCTGATGTAGTGTGTATCATACTGTCATTACAAATTAAGGATAATCAGCATGATAACAAAAGCAAACTTTAAATGACAGGCAAATTACTTGTTACTGTTCTCCAATTTTTGAACTGTTCACCTGGATTGAGAGCTACAAAAGGTACTTCTGATTTCATTGGGTGAGACTTAGTGTCAAAGTTAACACTTAAGGGAACTGTCACAGTATTGCGATGATGCTAACGACTAACAGTATAACATGTTGGTGTTATGGTAGCCATGTTTTGTATTGTATTGATAACGTCCACTAACCAGGAGCTTTTTGTTGTTATTTTTCAGGGTCTAACGTGTTTCTTGTGCTACGCCATCTTTGCGGCAGTGCTGGGAATGTTCCAGTTTGGATACAACACTGGTGTAATCAATGCCCCTCAATCTGTTATTGAGAATTTCATTGGTGACTGCTGGAAGGAACGCTACAATAAAAATATAGAGGGCAGCAAGCAGGACTTATTATGGTCAATTGCTGTGTCTATATTTGCCATTGGTGGCATGATTGGTGGATTCTGCGGTGGATCTGTAGGAAATAAATTTGGGAGGTAAGGATTTTTAAGCAAGTTATTATTTTGGAAATTAATGTTTATGTACATAACCCCTCAAATATTCTTGCTTATTTTTAAGTTTTAACAGTTCAAGAATGTTAACTGAGGTATTACAGTTCAATATATTGAATACTGTAACATTTTTATACTTAAAACATTGTTTGAAATGTAAAAAAAAATTGCATTGATTTTTTTTATGAAATATGCATACTACTGTATATGTGCTGGGTATTAGGGCCCAGAGTTCACAAATTATACAGCACATGTACTATATTTAACCATGCATTCAATGATTTATATAAAGTATTGTTAAATTCAGCAAAGTCATATATCAATTTTTGCCTGTTACAGAAAGAAAGGGTTACTGTTGAACAACCTGCTGGGAGTTGGCGGTGCTTGTCTCATGGCCTTCTCACAGGTGTCCTATTCATATGAAATGCTCATCCTAGGTAGATTGGTCATTGGCATTAACTGTGGTAAGTTGCTTTGTGTATGTAATTAACCATTGTTATTGTACCTTACAGGTAGAACACTGAGGTTTTACTGGAGTGTGTGACTTGTATTTGAGACCTTGTGATAAATCCATCTGTGACTTATCTTCTTGATATACAGTATTTCACTGACATTACTCCCTTAGGTACAGTATTCACCTGACATGTAACTCTGACATACAGTATTTATACTTGATGTCCTGCATCTCTCTGACATATCTACTTGATGTCTTGTATCTCTCTGACATATGTACTTGATGTCCTGCATCTCTGACATATTTACTTGATGTCCTGCATCTCTCTGACATATCTACTTGATGTCTTGTATCTCTCTGACATATGTACTTGATGTCCTGCATCTCTGACATATCTACTTGATGTCTTGTATCTCTCTGACATATGTACTTGATGTCCTGCATCTCTGACATATGTACTTGATGTCCTGCATCTCTGACATATCTACTTGATGTCCTGCATCTCTGACATATCTACTTGATGTCCTGCATCTCTGACATATGTACTTGATGTCCTGCATCTCTCTGACATATCTACTTGATGTCTTGTATCTCTCTGACATATGTACTTGATGTCCTGCATCTCTGACATATCTACTTGATGTCTTGCATCTCTGACATATGTACTTGATGTCCTGCATCTCTGACATATGTACTTGATGTCCTGCATCTCTCTGACATATGTACTTGATGTCCTGCATCTCCTTGATCTACACTGTCGCTCTGAATTATTTCTTCTCCATGGCACATTTCTTGAAATATCTCTCCTCATTCTTGTTGTGACACCCTGAGAGTATGGTTTCTACTAATCAACACTTCTGAAAGGTTATTACTGTACCCAAAATACAAAGTGAGGTGTGAGCTGCTGAAGTGGGCCTCAGTTGAAAGTGTGAATATATATCTCCTGCTTCATCCTGTTTCATTCTCGTGGGTTTGTATGTTGTACATACTGTGCTGCATAGTCAGTCGGCACCCCCGACTCGTGGGGTTTCTAATTTGCGGAATTTGATTATCCGACATTTTTACTGATGGGCATCCCGCAAATAAATTTGATTATTCGCAGGTTTTTTGTGGTGCCCGTTATTTTGGGGCCCAGCACACGAAGCCAAAATTCACACATTGCAGAACAAGCTTTATTAGGAGATTTTGCTTTATGAAGAGCTCTACATAGAGCTCTTTCTAGAGCTGAAATATTCTCTCACTCCTGAAATTGAAGCCTAACAAAGGAGTTTTATTCAAAATAGGTTCAGTTACTTTCCCATGCCTGAATCTCTGTTATGGTCCTTCTCTATTATGAATGTCAATATTTACTAGACTACAGCAATACTTTTTAGAGATAGATGACCCCTGAAATTCAGAATAAGCCCATATATATAATTTTGTAACGAACAGAAAGGCACAATACCGTGACTGGAACAATACACAAATAACCTGGCACATAGGAGAGAGAAACTTATGACGATGTTTTGGTCTAAGTCGGACTGAAACATCATTGTAAGCTTCTCTCTCTTATGTGCGAGTTATTTTTACATATAATTTTCAAGTTTTTGTGGACTCTAGATATACAAAAGTAGGAAAGTAACCATTTGTGAATTTGGTAGCTGTGTGTACTTGCCTATTTGTACTCGCCTATTTGTGGTTGCAGGGGTCGAGTCATAGCTCCTGGGCCCACCAGGTGTGTGTGTGTGTGTGTGTACTCACCTATTTGTACTCACCTATTTGTGGTTGCAGGGGTCGAGTCATAGCTCCTGGCCCCGCCTCTTCACTGATTGCTACTAGGTCCTCTCTCCCTGCCCCATGAGCTTTATCATACCTCGCCTTTAAACTATGTATGGTTCCCGCCTCCACTACTTCACTTTCTAGGCTACTCCACGGCTTGACTACTCTATGACTGAAGAAATACTTCCTAACATCCCTTTGATTCATCTGAGTCTTCAACTTCCAATTGTGACCTCTTGTGTCTGTGTCCCATCTCTGGAACATCCCGTCTTTGTCCACCTTGTCTATTCCGCGCAGTATTTTATATGTCGTTATCATGTCTCCCCTGACCCTCCTGGCCTCAGTGTCATCAGGCCGATTTCCCTCAACCTTTCTTCGTAGGACAATCCCCGTAGCTCTGGGACTAGTCTTGTTGCAAACCTTTGCACTTTCTCTAATTTCTTGACGTGCTTGACTAGGTGTGGATTCCAAACTGGTGCTGCATACTCCAGTATGGGCCTGACGTAAATGGTATACAGAGTCTTGAACGAATCCTTACTGAGGTATCGGAACGCTATCTGTAGGTTTGCCACGCACCTGTATGCTGCAGCAGTTATCTGATTGATGTGCGCCTCAGGAGATATGCTCGGTGTTATACTCACCCCCAGATCTTTTTCCTTGAGTGAGGTTTGCAGACTTTGGCCATCTAAACTATATTGTGTCTGCAGTCTTCTTTGCCCTTCCCCAATCTTCATAACTTTGCATTTGACGGGGTTAAACTCAAGGAGCCAGTTGCTGGACCAGGCTTGTAGCCTGTCCAGGTCTCTTTGTAGTCCTGCTGATCCTCATCCAATTTGATTCTTCTCATTAACTTCACATTGTCCGCAAACAAGGACACTTCTGAGTCTATCCCTTCCGTTATGTCATTCACATATACCAAGAACAGCACAGGTCCTAGGACTGACCCCTGTGGAACCCCGCTTGTCACAGGCGCCAACTTTGACACCTCGTCACGTACCATGACTCGTTGTTGCCTCCCTGTAAGGTATTCTCTTATCCATTGCAGTGCCTTTCCTGTTATGTGTGCCTGATCCTCTAGCTTTTGCAGTAACCTCTTGTGAGGAACTGTGTCGAAGGCCTTCTTGCAGTCCAAAAAAATGCAGTCGATCCACCCCTCTCTCTCTTGTCTTACTTCTGTCACCTTGTCATAAAACTCTAATAGGTTTGTGACATAGGATTTTCCCTCCCTGAAACCATGCTGGTTGTCAATTATACACTTGTTTCTTTCCAGGTGCTCCACCACTCTCCTCCTGATGATCTTCTCCATGACCTTGCATACTAAACACGTTAGTGATACAGGTCTGTAGTTTAGTGCCTCATGTCTGTCTCCCTTTTTAAAAATTGGGACTACATTTGCCATCTTCCATACCTCGGGGAGTTGCCCAGTTTCAAATGATGTGTTGAAGATCTTTGTTAATGGTACACACAATGTCTCTGCTCCCTCTTTAAGGACCCACGGAGAGATGTTGTCTGGTCCCACCGCCTTTGAGGTGTCAAGTTCGCATAGCAGCTTCTTCACCTCCTCCTTGGTTATATGTACCTCATCCAGCACTTGCTGGTGCACCCCCCTGCTCTGATTTCCTGGAGTCCTACTGGTTTCCACTGTAAATACTTCTTTAAATCTTCTGTTGAGCTCCTGACATACCTCCCGGTCGTTTCTTGTGAATTCCCCATCACCCTTCCTCAGTCTGATTACCTGGTCCTTGACTATTGTTTTCCTCCTGATGTGGCTGTACAACAGCTTCGGGTCAGTCTTGACTTTCGATGCTATGTCATCTTCGTATTGCCGCTGAGCCTCCCTTCTTATCTGTGCATATTCGTTTCTGGCTCTTCGGCTAATCTCTTTATTTTCCTGAGTTCTCTGTCTTCTGTACCTTTTCCATTCTCTAGTACACCTAGTTTTTGCCTCCCTACACCTTTGGGTGAACCAAGGACTCGTTCTGTTCTTCCCATTATTTCTGTTTCCCTTGGGAACAAACCTCTCCTCTGCCTCCTTGCATTTTGTTGCCACATAGTCCATCATTTCTTGTACTGGTTTTCCTGTCAGTTCCCTCTCCCACTGAATGTCTTGAAAGAAGTTCCTCAAGCCTGAGTAATTCCCCCTTTTGTAGTTTGGTTTTTCCCACCCTATTCCTGCTGCTCTCTCTTGTAGCTCAACTATGTAGTCGAAGCACAGTGTGTCTAACATGTTGATGCATGAGGTTTTCCAGTACCACATCCATCATCTTGGCTCTCCATGTTTCGGGACCCCCATGGGGCTCCAGGTTTTCCCAGTCAATCTCCTTGTGATTGAAATCACCCATAATTAGTAACTTTGCTCCCCCCATGTGTGCTCTCCTGGCCACCTCAGCTAGTGTGTCGACCATTGCTCTGTTGCTCTCATCGTATTCTTCTCTTGGCCTCCTGCAGTTCTGTGGTGGGTTGTACATTACTGCAATTATCACCTTATGTCCCTCAGACTGGATTATTCCTACTAAGTAGTCCCTTTTGCCCATGCCATCCATTCCTTCCATTTTCTCAAACCCCCACTGGTTTTTAATGAGCAGTGCAACTCCTCCTCCCCCTCTCCTCCCTCTGTCTTTCCTGAGGATTTGATATCCAGATGGAAAGATTGAATCTGTTATTATTCTGATGAGTTTTGTTTCTGTGAGTGCTATTATGTCTGGGGATGTCTCCTTGATTCTTTCGTGCCACTCCTCATACTTGTTATTCCATCTGCATTTGTATACCACACCTTCAACTTCTTTTCATTACTTTTTAACAAGTCACTAGAAACTAGCACCTTCCCGAAACTACTCAAGATGGCAAGGGTTACACCAATACATAAAGGTGGTGACCCTACAGACTTAAACAACTATAGGCCAGTATCAAACTTACCATTGCTATCCAAAATCTTTGAGATACTCGAGCACAGGAGACTATATTCATTTATAACAACACAAAACATACTCAACCCCTGCTAATTTGGATTCAGGAAAAATAAAAGCACTAATTATGCAATCACAAAAATGCTAGATCTGCTTTACACAGCATTGGAAAATAAGGAATATCCACTAGGAATTTTTATTGACCTAAGAAAAGCTTTTGACACAGTAGACCACGACATCCTACTCCACAAACTTGACCATTACGGTATAAGAGGCCATGCGCTTGCTTATTTCAAATCTTACCTTACTAATAGGTATCAGTATGTCACCATTAAAGACACAGCAT